ACACATACCCATCATCACAGCCTTTTTCTGACTTGAGAGTGAGCTGCAGTCATGGTGCCCTGTCACCTCCCCGGTACCCCATTGTGTGTGTCCCCAAACAAAGACGCTGTCCCACACCACTAGCCTGCATCTCTCCGAGTGGCGAAGTCGACATCAATACGACGCTTCTCTTCAGCCTACACGCTCCGTTCCCATGCCACCAGCGATCCAGCAACGCTCCTTTCTCCTTTCTGGTTCAGGAACACACGTTGCATGCAGTTGTTGTATCTCTTTAGCTTCCTCCTGCCTGGGGCAATTCTTCAATACTCCATCTTTCCCTGTCTTCCATACCCTTGAAAGTTTTCGGGAGTGCAGACCTTACGTTCTCTTGGACGACCTCCAACCAGGGTCCATGTGATGTTCCTTGTGACTGGGTTTGGGTCACGCAGTGCTGACGGGAACCTCCTGGACATGACGCTCTACGTTCCTGGCCCCTCCCAGCGCTGCTGAGGTTAACCTTTGTCACCTGGTCATGCTGTGGCTTCCAGGTTTCTCCAGCTCAGCGTTACCATTTTTCCCTTGGTGACCGATCGGTATGTTGTGGGAGTGATGTTCTGAGGTTATACCGGGTCGCTGCTCCCCACCAAGCCTCCATTTCGTCATTCCTTCTGATCAACCAGGGCTCTACTAGCACGGACGCCTGGCTTCCTGTTCTGTTCAATGGTGTGCTTCACTCCTATTATTTATTTTGATTCTCAAATTACCCCAGATTTGGTCCACGGGAGCTTCATCAGCGTGTCTCTGTGTTCTATTGCCATGACCCTTTCAGTCTTTGAGCACTTCTTAATACTTTGGTAAAACAAGATGCTCCAGACTCCTCTGTGCTCCTGCTGCAGCCCTGGTCCCAGCTGTTTGTCCTCGGAGCTCCGGTTCCCTTTGTGAGGATGGTGTTCAGAAACCAGCGGCTGTGCGCTTGGTGTGCTCATTGCCACTGAGGCATCATAGCTTCTCGGCTCTCTCGGTGGATAGAGAGAGAAAATATATGTAAATGCACACACATACATATCTATAGCTATTTCCTTATCTTCCTGTGAGTTCGTATATTCAAAACTATTATTTCAAACCAGTGCTTCTAACTCCAGTACAACACATCAGAGTTCTGTCTACCCTGCCTCCCCTTCCATGATTATACATATATTCTTCAATACTTAGAAACGTGGTCCTCTTTATCTGCCACATACGTCCTTGCTTCATCTGTGTACTTATTTCTCAGGATAACCTCTCTCCCGTCCATCCTGGTGTCTTCCCCACCAGCTGCCCCCATCCTCTCAACGTGCCTCCCCCTCCGGCACTGGCAAGCGCATCACCGGGCACACCGCCGGATGTCTCTGTGTGCAGCCCCTGCGTCCTCCGTGTGGCGGGTGACCATCTGTGCACCCTGCACAGCTTCCCCTTACCAGCGGGGCAGCTCCGGGCCAGCTCCTCTGCACAGGGGAGGAAGACAAGGTCTATTCATGATTTTGGCTCTCATCCCAGTCACTGAGTTCCAAAGAACCAGAAATGCATCTTGTTCATCTTTGTGGCCCCACAGCCTAGCGGCATCGGGTTACCCAAAGTATTTGTTAATTGAATGAATATATGAAATATTAAATAAGCATGCCATTTAGAAGGTAAAAAAACCAAACAAACAATTTCCAATCATTTTCAAATACTCTCCCCTCCCAGAGGAGCCACTTTTCCACAGCATCTATAGCATATGGACAAAGTTGGCTACTCTGGGTAAAGCTTCCTTTTTTTCCCCTTCGAGGTGTGAAATGGACTGAATATTTGTGTCCCCCCCCAACTTCTTTTTTTGAACCCTTATTTCCGTTTTGTTTTTTTGGGGGTTGGGGTTTTGGGAGTTGTTTGGTTCTTGGGGTTGGGGCTTTCTGGGTTGGGTTTGTTGCCTTGTTGGGAGGAACCTTGGGGGTTGGTTTTTTTTTTTCCGGCCTTGGGAGGGCGGCCCCTTGCACCTGGGAGGGGGGTTCCCCCCGGACCCGGCTTTTGTTGGCCCCTGGTGTCTCTCTTCCAGCCTCCAGAACTGTGAGCAATAAACATTTGTTGGTTAAGCTGCCCAGTCCGTGTACTGTGTTACAGCATCCCAAACTGACACAGCCAAGGAGGTCTCCAATGCACCTCTTTGTTGTTTAATAACAATCATGATTTCTTTAAACTCCTCGTTGGGGTATCATTTCCATTTAGCAGATGAGGCTGTGAGACTCAAATGGAGTAAGTGATTTGTCAAATATGATATGTGAAGTTAGTGTCAACACTGGTGCTCGAATCCAGGTGCCCTGATCCTTGGTGCCGTGATTCCGTTTTCTTTCCAATGATGTGCCGTCTGCCACCAGGAGCAGAGTGCTAGCCAGCAGGGGAGAGAGGCTGGGCAAGCTTGCTCACAGTCCTGTGTGCCAGGCACAGACATTTGTCTGTGGAGGTCACACGGAGTCCTCCAGGACTTTGAGAACATTTTGTAATACAGGTTGAGTATCGCTTATCTGAAATGCTTGGGGCCAGAAGTGTTTTGAATTTCAGATTGTGTTTTGGATTTTGGAGTATTTGCCTATATACAATGAGATATCATGGGTATGGGACCCAGGTCTAAACAGGAAACTCATTTATGTTTCTCATACACCTTATACACATGGCCTGAAAATACTTTTAGATAATATTTTTAAGTACTTTCATGCGTGAGACAAAGTTTTGACTGCAATCCATCACATGAGATCAGGTGTGGAATTTTCCACTTGTGGCATCATGCCAGTGCTCCAAAAGTTTCAGATTTTGGAGCATTTTGGAGTTCGTATTTTGCGTTGGGGATGCTCAACCTGTGGCATATACAAAAGCACTTGGAGTGATGCCAGGGAATAGCAGATGTTTCCACATTCCCTTGCTCATTTGTTCACTTGTAAGTTTGTGCCTAGCTGAGTGTTAGGAACGTCGCTCTGTTGGTGATGTGAAGGAACCACGGCAGGAGCAAGAGAGATTAGGCAGAAGTGATGATGACCTGGGCTTGGCGGAAGGGGTGGTGGAAATGGAGATGTGGTGGCGGAGGGAGGCTGGGCTGGGTTTTTAAATTTATTGTGAACATTCGAAGACAGTACTTAATGGTACTGCTAATAATAGCCAATCCTTCTGGGCACTTACTGAGTGCCAGGCGCGATGCTAAAGGCTTTGCATAGATTATGTCAGTTAATCCTCAGAAAACCTTATGACGTAGATACTATTATTAACCCCATTTTTTGCAGATTAGGTAACTGAAGATTAGAAAGGTTAAGTAACTTGAAGGTCAGACAGCTAGAAATGGCAGAATTGAGGCACAAACTCAAGTTTTCTCCTAAGCCCTATGTAATAGATCTTTACATGCATAATCACTTAGCAGGGTGTTATTTTAGAGCATGTAGCCCCAGAATTTTATTGCTCTTCACCCAAGTTTTGATTTTATAGAGCAGGGAATAAAGTGTCAAGCAATGAGTCCTGTAACATGTGAATGCTGGGAGTTAAGGAACGGGTACATTTCAGTGTTGTCCTAGAAGATACTATCAGTCCAGACTCCATTGTGTATTGTCAGTGGGGTGTCTGAGTTGGCTCCAGCGGTCACTTCTGGAGAAGGTGGCACAGACTTAGAACCCTGGTAATTACCTGGGACTTGGTCCTGGGCAGATGACCCTTTCTGGCATCCTTGGACTGAATCCTTGGTAAATCCTCAGTTTCTGGCTATCAGTTTCAATGCATATGGCGGGTTTATGGGAGGGGCTCTCACTTGACATCCCCAGAGACACAGGTTTGCTGCGCATGGCATCTGGTCCCTGGCTTTCCTCTACTCCGGCATGTGCCTTGGGGCCGGGCCAGCGCAGGAGAAGACTCGTGTCAAGAGACACACTGTGACTAGTGTTAACCTCTACTGGAATATGGTAGAACGTTTTGTTCAAAATGACATGCTTGCTGAAAACAGTGTTGTAATTTAGAATTGAGTCTTACGGAAATGGCCTCCTTGGAAAATGGCCTGTAGGGCTGTGCCTTAGGAACATATAAAGGAGTTTTTGTAATTTAGGGTAGAGCCTCTAAAACATTTCCTCGTCATGCATAGAAAAGGATAATACTTGCATTGCACACTGGAGTGAGTAGTAAGTGCTCATGGCCAGAGGTGGCTGTCTGGGATCTCGGGCTGCCCTAGGGCCCACCCATTGCCCCAGGGTGGAGGAGACCAAAGTCTCTATCGGTGCACCAGCCTGGCCAGGACCCCCAGGAGGGAAGCTCTGATGAATGGTATTTTAAAACCCAGTCCTTGCATTTCTCTAAAAATAGCTTTATGGGAAACTTTTTAATTCTTTAGGTATTTGATTACGAAGATAAGTTCTCATTGGAGGGGATTCCAATTTCTGCAGCTTAGTTTTTTAAAGAAAAATTATTTTATAGGGATTCTATATTTATACCTTGTCCTAGGAGACCTAAGATCATTAAAAAATTATAGTAACCCTCCTGTCTAACAGAAGTGGATATGTGGTCATCACAGCATGATACCATTTGAACATTGCTCTGTGGCTTTAGTAATTGGCTCTATCTTGATGGGCAATTTCTTAAAATCAACACTTGGACACTGATTTCTTCTTCAACCAATTTTATAGTACCCATCAAAATTAGCATGTTTTTTTCTGCCAAATGATCATTATGGTTTTAAAAATAATTAATATTAAGTATCACTCTGTGCGAGGCTCATAATTATGACCACCATATAAATACATCAACCATCATCTCCGAGAGTTAGAAGAATAAAAGGTAGCGGGAGGGCCGTGTTGTTGGTAAAAAGAAGGTTCTTAGAAGCACCGTCGGAGAGATGAAAGTGCTGGCCTAGAAACCGGTAACCTTCACATGACATCAGTAAGGAAAAGTTGACTAGGACTGGAGCTAGGAGACACTGGGTTATCTATTTTGAGTTTCATGGCTCTTTTTCCCTCTCTCTCATCGGTTTGGGTTTCCAGCGGAGACATTAAAACAAAGGTTAGAAGACCTGGAACAAGAGAAAAGCAGCCTGCACTTTCAGCTTCCTTCCAAGCAGCCGCCTCTTAGCAGCTTCCTGGGTCACCTGGCGGCCCAGGCCCAGGCTGCCTTGCACCACCGGGCCGCCCAGCAGTGAGTATTGATCGTTGCTGCCACTTTTTCCTTGTGTCCTCTTCCTCCCTCTGGGTCCCAGGTAGCAAAGAGCTGGGAGGGGCTTAGCTGCCTTTTCCTGGGAAGGATCCCTTTGTTGCTTGGTTGGGTGGCGGGGAGTTGGGGATGCCTTTCAGAGTGAGGGACCCGTGTGGGTTGTGCTAGCCTGGAAAGAAGCCCTTTCTGCTTGCTGCTTGACTGAGAGACCCTCTGCAAGTGCAGCTGCAGCCTGGGCATTTCGCTTCCCCTGGGAAGCCACACTTCTGAGAAGGTGGGTGCATTTCCTCTTGTCCAGGGCAGCTCTGTCTCCTGTGATTGTGTTAAGCCTGTAAGATCCACAGACGGTCCCCTCTGACTGAGACATGAAAACCCATCCTCCTCCCGACTCTACCTCCAGCTCCTGAGCAGCTTTTGCTGTTTGGACCACCCAGCGCTCTCCTGAGATTGGCAATACATAGAGAGCAATTGCTGTTTCTAATCCAGTGGCTATCGGTCCTGGCTGCACATTGGAATGACCTAGAGAGATTTTATTTATTTGTATATTTTTTGTTTTAAAATATTAATGAGGTACAAGTGTTTTTGTCACATGGATGAACTATATGATGCTGAAGCCAGGGCTTTTAGTGTGCCTGTCACCAGAGTAGTATATATTGTACCCGACAGGTGCGTTTTTATCCCTCTCTCCACTCCCGCCCTCCCCTGTTCTTAGTTTCCAATGTCCTTTGTACCTCTATATGACCGCATATACCTATCGTTTAGCTCCCACTTATTAGGGAGAAAATGGGGTGTTTGCTTTTCCGTTCCTGAGGTACTTCACCTAGGATAATGTTCTCCAGTTCCATCCAAGTTGCTGCCAAAGACATTATTTCATTCCTTTTTATGGCTGAGTAGTACTTCAGACAGAGGAGACGTTGGAGCAAGGAAAGTTATCAGGGATAAAGGGGGCATTACAGAATAACAAAGGGCCCAATTCTCCAAGTAGACATAACAATCCTGAATGTGCATGCACCTAACAAAAGTACGTCCAAATTTGTGAGGCAAAAACTAATAGAAGTGTAAGGAGAAATAAATAAATCCACTATTGTAGTTGGAGTCTTTAACACTCCTTTATCAAAAATGGACAAATCTAACAGGCGGACACTTAATAAGAACATAAACTCAAGAGCATCATAAATCAACTGGATATGATTGATATCTGCAGACTACGTCATCCAACAAAAGCAGAATACACACTCTTCTCAAGCTCACATAGAACATTCACCAAAATATCCCACATCTTGTGCCATAAAATGCTCTTAACAAACTTAAAAGAATAGAAATCATGCAATGTTTGCTCTCAGGCCGTAGCCTCTTCACTTTTTGAGCCGACTCTGATCTGGTTTCTATCTCTATCATGTCCCAGATCTCACCCAAGGTCAGCGATGACTTTCTATTTGTTGACTTTTTCAATTCTTATTCTACTCTGTATCACTGCATTGTCCAAAACCTTTAATCAAATTCATTCTTAAAACACTCGCTCCCCTGGGCTTTCATGATTTCACACTTCCTGGTCTTCTCGCCACCTTTCTGGTCACCCTTGGTCTCTGTGAGCTCTGTCCCTCTCCCTTCTCCTTCACGTTTATGTTCCTCCATCTGCTGTCTTAGCCTGTCCTCTCCTCTCACTTCGAGTGCTCTTTCTGGGTCATCTCAACCACTTCCAGCCTTCAGAGATCCTTTCTGTGCTAATTTCCCTCAAATTGGGGAAAAGGCTGCATCTCCAGCTCTGATTTCTTTTCAGAGTTCCAACCCACAATTCAGCTTTCTATTGAACACCTCCCTGACCTTTACTAAATTGATTATCACTTATTTTATTGTTAAAAATTTACTATCTTTTTATCCTTGCCTTCACTAAATTTACTTTTTAAACTAAATTTACTAAATTTACTATCGTTCTCCACATTTAGCCCCTTCTCCTGTATCCCCAGTCTCTGGGCCTCCACCACCTGCCCAGTTATCCAGCGAGGGCTCTGTGGCTCCTGGGCTCTGCCCTCTCCCTTCCTCCCCACGTTTGTTGCTCACCAGGCCCTGCTGCTTTTGCTGTCTGCCTCTCTCTCATTCCCACCCACTTTCTCAGCTCTGCGTCAATGCCTTAGTTCTGGTCTTTAAGTTTTTAATCTGGATTATTACAACGGTCTCCTTGCTGGTATTCCTGACTCTATCATCACTCCCTCTCATTCATCTTCCACAATGCCACAGATGCAAAGATCATGTCATGCTCAGTGGTCCCCACTGCTTTCAGGATAAAATTCATGCTGCTTAGCATGACTTTCAAAGCCTTCATGATCCAGCCCCTGCCCAGCTCTGCAGCTGCCCAGAATTTGGTCGTCACCAGCACCTGCACCTGCAATCCACACATACTGAAGTATTAGAAGTCACCTCAGTGTTTCTAGATTCTGTGGTCTTGCACATGCCCCATCGCTGTTGCCAACTGTTGCTCATTCTTCAAGACTTAGTGAAGCTGCCATCCTCACAAAGCTCTGCCCATCAGCCACGCTGCCGCCCTCTTGAATTATAGAGCACCTTGAATTACTGCTCCTGTCTTAGGTCTTTAATAAATCTGTTTCCTTGGGTGTCTGTTTACTCTGACAGATGACAAGCTCCTTGAGGACAAAACTATATTATATTTATCTTTTTATTCCTAGAGACTAGAACAGTGGCTGACCCATAATAAGTAGTAAATATTCATTAAGTGAATATAGCACATATGTATATGTATCTATATATAGGTTCACAAACATATATGGAAATATCCAGAGAGAGAGACAGAGAGAGAGAGAGAGAGAGAGAGAGAGAGAGAGAGAGAGAGATCATTCACTTTCGTGTGGCACGGTTGCACTAGAGAAAAATGCTTCTTCAGCCTTGCCTGTGAAACTCCCAGATCACAGAATCTAGAAACACTGAGGAGATTCTAATACTTCACAAGGGGAATCCTGCACCATTGCATGGAACCCTGGACTGGAGGTCAGGAAGCCTCTCTGGTCCTGTCTGTTCCACTAACCAGCTGTCATAGCTTGGTGTAGCTCTCTAATCTCTCCACACTTCACTCCCTCATCAGAAAAACAGGGGGTTGAATTAAGTCACCGCTTTCCAAACTTCAGATATTTATGTATTATCTTGGTTTTTCTTTTACCAAATCCGCCTGTCCTATTATTGCCATAACCAGAAAATCATGATTTGAAGTCGACTTACATTTTTCTAATGCACATTAACACAATTACATAGTTGCTAATAAATTTTTAAAAATCGTCTTTCAGCGTGCCAACTACCCACGCAGCCTGTGGCATTTGTCATCAACTGGATTATATAGGACTTGCAGGGTGCCCTGCGTGAGGGGCTGCAGTTTTCTCAGTGGCCACCAGGGGGACGTGGCGCCACGCAGGCGCCCACGTGCCCACAGCCTGGACAGAATGGTCACAGGCTCTCTCTTAGTCCAGGGGGAAACAGAGTATTTTCAAATGATAAAAATAGTTGTATTAACACGGACAAATTTCAATACTAATTAATAACACAAATCAGTGCCTCTTAACCTTTTTAGGATAAGTATTTCTTTGAGAAGCTGATGCAAGCTATAGACGTCTTCCTTCACAAAACCACGTATGCACACACATATACAAACTACTGGGCGCAGTTTCCGGAGACTCACAGATCTGAATTATCCACTCACTCCTTTGGATCCTAGGTTAACAAAATCTAGTTTAGAATAAGATTTAAGGACATGTAAACACTTGAGTACAATCAAGTACTTTACTTTTTATTATTTTTATTGTCACTTTGTTCTTAAAAATCATTGTTTCATTCAACTTTTTAAAAAGCATGCTTTAATTCTCTGAATGTGTGTAGCACCCTGAATCTAGATTTGTTCGGTTTCTGCCAGCAGCCGAGAGAGTTTCAACTACCTTCAGGGCTTCGCTGGGCTCCTCTAATAGTAGATATTGGTACCCAAATTGTTTGGCCCCTCTTCTGTGGGGGTCTCCTTGCCTAATGGGTGCGCTTGTTGGGGGGATAACTTTTGTGATGTTTGTTTGATTCATGGGACACTCACGTATCTTTGCCACGAAAATGGTGGGCATTCAGGCCACACCGTGACAGACCCTCTCCTCCCTACCATGTTGCTCCCATTCCCTTATCCCTGCTCGAGGGGGCAGCAATGCATCAGAAGTGTGTTGTTTAAGCAGCTTTTGTAGCAGACACTGCTGATGCTTATGTCCAGGGCCCCTGGCCGCCTGCTGGTTTCCTGCTAGGGATGGTGCTTTCTGGGTGTTGCACTCAGGCACCCAGCAGGTTTATCAGGGTTATCTGCAGCAGGTGTTGTCTGAAGCCCTGTGAGGAAGGGTGGGGGACAGATGATTCCACCTAGGGTAACCCTTGACGAATGTCTCGGCCTCCTCAGCCTCTAGGGGGACAGTTCTGAGACATGCTGCACACATTTTTTTCCCCCTAGAAGGTTCCTATTGGGCTTGCGTTCCATTTGCCCATGTAGTGATCACCTCATAATGCACCTTTTCTTGACTTTTCCTCCTTCTCACTCCCTCACTCCAGTTTCTTGGGAATCACTTCTCCAGAAAACCACCTGCATTCAGATCCTTGACCCTGGCTCTTCTGTTAGGAGAACCCAATTATAGACAGATAGCCATGTTGGAGAAGTAGATGTCAGTCTTCCTTCCTGCAGGGCACCCCAATCTTTAGGGGTGAGTCCACTGGATTTTTTTCCTCTTGGTTTGAGTGGGGTGATTCACTGCCTCCTTGCTCCCAGGAGTAGGGGAGGGAAACGCATCTCTCATGAAGACTCTGTTTCCTGCACGGCCAGGGGTTGGGTGGGTGTTGAGAGTGGCGGCTGGTTGTGGCAGTACCGCCTGCGTAGCTCCTGGAGTGGGGCACGCCACTTCCTCATTTGAGATTTAGAATGGAGCACATTTAAGCCTGTGTCCTTCAGCTTTAGTTTC